GGGGGGGGATTTGCTGGTTCTCTTGTCACATATGATGGTGACCCAACATTTTTTCAACAGCTAGGACGAGCAAAGAAAGGACTTATCTTATTAACTGCTGCATCCTTAGATAACGTCCTTTTCATCTTTAAATTGAACACTGGCTAACATACATAGGTGTAAAAAAATGTCAAGTGTTACAAAGATTCTTTCAAAAATGAAAAGCCACTTACTTTATTTCCTTCTGCTATGTTTTCTGTTATACTCCTAAGGTGGAACTAAAACTCAAACCTACCAACCCGTTCTTAACATTGATGCTGCCCAGTTATTTGATCCTTTTTGTTGATATAGTCAGCTTTGCTCTGCCACTGCGAGGTGGAGGACGCAATGCTTTCAAGGTCACCCTGGTGCTCAGCTTCACCCTGTTTATCAATATCCTAAATAGCCAGCTCCCTGGAGACAGTGAATGCAGCCCAATAATCCGTGAGTCATGTTACAAGGAGAAACATGTGCACAAACAAACCGTATACATGGCCTCACACTGGGTGTTAAATAAAAAACCTGACTAATTTGTTTGTGCTGCAGGACCCCACTTCTGTATTTGCCTGATCTTCTTGGTTGTGAGCATGCTGGTGTCCATGCTAACTACTAGGCTATCCCTAGAAGGCCAACTGGTTTTCTGCTGTTGGTCCAAAGGATCAGCCCCCAAAATTACAGAAAACAAGGAACAAAATGAGGATGAGGGTGAGGAAGACTTGACTGTAGAGCAAATCCTGCAAATATTGAAACTAAATTGTTACTATGTATGAGGTGTCTTGATGTTTATTGAGGCTTGATTTTTTTTTTTTAATAATAATGGCATAACCTATTCTAACTATGATTTCAATCCCTCCAGAAACTAAAGCTGACATTAGCACCATCCAGCCGAATGGCTCAGAGAACAGTCGAATACTCAGAAAAGTGGCCAAATACTTGGAAACTCATGAGACCAACGAAGCGGAAAAGGAGAGACAACACAAGTTTGCCGACATGTTGGACAAGACTTTTTTCTGGATCTATTTCATTGGTGGCCTTGGATACCTTGTTATGATGACTGTAATAATGTTAAATTATAAATGTGAAGTTAACCATTTTGATTTCTGGTATAACTGATGTGCATTAAGAGCTGCTCTTAAAACCAAACTACATTTATTTAAAGCTAAATCTTAGGGTACATGTCAGCTGCAATGACTGATAAAACCCTCTGCATGTGTGTATTAGATTAGTTAAACCACACTGTCACTATGATATGCTAATTACAGATGTCTACAGATGTGTGCAAATGTGTAGTTGTACTGTGTCTTTGGGTGTTTAGCAAAAAAGATGTTATTGCATACTTCTAAAAATAAGAGAAATAAAGACATTTAACTTTCACCATGAACTAAAAATCATTTTTAGGGTTTCTTTATTGTGATTATATCCACATATTTACCAGATCTGCTAAACCCAAGTGTTCCTTTGTTGCCACCAAGTGGCTGAATGATTCACCTGCAGTCTGGCGACAACGTTATTAATCGATTTTCCTCTTTGACATATTTATGAGATTAGCTAGTAGCTGGACCTCTGTTTATCTGCACAACACTACTAAATTGTGAGGATGTTCATATTTAGAATTTGGGACGATATACAGTCATCAGGCACATTATTAGATACAGCTTTCAAGTACTGGGTTGGGGTTTCTTTTGCCAGAACTGCCTTATTCATGGAATATTCAACACAGTGCTGGAAACTATCTTTAGAGTTTCTGGTCCACATTGACCTGATACCATTACATGCTGGCTGGAGATTTGTCGGTTTCACTTCAATGGTGAAAATCTCTCCTTCCAGCACGTTCCAAAGATGCCCTATTGAGATTGCGATCAGGTGACTGCGCAGGCCATTTGAGTACAGTGAACTCTTTGTCATGTTCAGGAAACCAGTTTGAGATCATTTCAGCTTCGTGGCAGTGGGTACTAAGGGACCCAAAGTGTGCCAAGAAATGATCCTGTATACCATTACGCCGCCACCTCCTTGACAGGAGGCAAGATGAATCCATACTTTCATGCTGTTTATGCCATATTCTAACCTAGTATCGGAGTGCTACAGCAGAAATTGAGACAATCGTCTATTGTTCAATTTGCATGAAAATTGTAGCCACAGTTTCCTCCTCTTAGCTGGCAACAGTGGCACCTGGTTTGGACTTCTGTATGCCTTGGTGATAACAAGTGGTTATTTGTTTGACTTACTGCTACTTTTCCTTGCGTTAATGAGCAGCTAAGAAAGTCAATACCCATTTCATAGTTTTGACATTCTTATTGGTGGAAAGCACCACAAGATAATAGTCCCTGGCTCTATGAAATCTGATGGGTCCATCCATCCATCCATTCGCTTCCGCTTATCCTTTTCAGGGTCGCGGGGGGCGCTGGAGCCTATCCCAGCTGTCATAGGGCGAGAGGCGGGGTACACCCTGGACAGGTCGCCAGTCTGTCGCAGGGCCAACACACAGGGACAGACAACCATTCGCACTCACATTCATTCGCACATTCACACCTAGTGACAATTTGGATAAAAAATCTGATGGGTCACATGACGAAATCTCATGACACATACAAGAGTGTTTTAAGAGAGTATAGACATGCTGAATCTTTCCTAAGCCTTTTAAATACTTTTTGACGACAATAATATATTTGGACTACCACAATGGTAAGATTCAAATTTCAACCCAAAAATGACAGTAAACCTTTATTTTCTTATTTACCATAACATATAATTTCCCATAAACATACCTTAACAAAAATGACCAACTTTTGTATAAATTTACAGCTAAACTGCAAAACACTTTGTCTTTACAATACCCAATATCAAACACCATAAAAAGGGTAGGTAGCAGGTAATTACATACATTTTCCCAATAATGCACAGTAAAATGTATTTTTCCATGAGGCTACAAAAATGCATGAGTTGTCAAAGGCTACAAAGTGGCACACCCTCAAGATAAAAGGAATGATTTCCTTATCCAAATCCTCTTCCTGGAATTGAAATCACCCATGTGCTGTGAAAGAAGACCAAACACCTTTTTTTTAAATAAGAAACAGGCCCATCCAGCAGCTGACTTCAAAAACTTTCTGGTTGCTTCGTTGCCTTTGTTTTAAAAAAGAAAAAAAAAAAGAGGAAAATATTAATGTAAAAGTTCATTAGACAAACTACAGAAAAGAAGGGCTAATGTATGATGATTCACATACCCGTTTAAGAATCTGGACACCGAGATAGTTCTTTGCCATGTTTCTCAGGTTAGACTTTCCACCCACCTTGCACCTGACATAACCATACAGGTTTGCCCATTGTAAAACCAAGCCCAATATTACCACAACCTGGAGGAAACAAGAAGTAGATGTCAGCCAATAATCAGCAGCTATTTAAGTTGTCAGGAATGTGTCTTACACGCTGAAACTCTAAACTGACCAGCCATTTAATATTAAAGGAGAAGACAGTGCTCAACACAAACAGGATCCAGAAAATGGGGCAGACAAGAAGGCCGAGCCAGAATACCCGGGATTCTGCGCTGGACTTTGTGTTTTTGCTGTGCGTCTGTTAAGAAAAGTAGACATATTTAAAGATATATATACATGTTATATCACCATCAGTCAAATGAAAAAGGAAGATGTCACATAAATCTGTGCACTCTGTCCTGTCCACCCCATGATTCAGTGGCTTGTAGAACCACTTTTAGCAGCAGTAAGTTAAAGAACTTGAAGTGATTGTTTTCTGGATGAGTTTCTCACAATGTTGTGTTGAACTCTTCTTTGTACCATTTGCTTCAATTCATTGAGGTTTTCGAGCTCTGAGTCTTTTCTTTGTGTGGTGTAGATCTGCTGTTGTGCTTAGGATCATTATCCTGACATATGGACCAATTTCAATACTTTAGCATCCAGAGGTGTTCACAGTTGACTCACTGACTGCAAGGTACACAGGTCTTGTCAGTAAGAAGTATATGTGGTGACATGTTGAGTTTGGTTTTCTTTAAATATGTCCAATGAACATTATTCCTAAAGACTTGTGGTTTGTTCAGATGGCCTAAGATACCAAGATACCAGAGAAGAGGTTTTTCTCTCACAAAACCTTCCAAATAAGCCACACAGTAATTCTCTAAACATGCAAACTGAGGCCTGTAGAGTCTAAGATGTTGCAACAAGGTTGCATAGGTCAGATCGCATTATATG